GATGAACTTTGACCATTATGCTGAGCAAAGTAAGTTAGTACCAAAAGGGCAAATACTACATGATCTCACTTATATGATATATATATAAACCAAGATTATTAGTGGTTACCAGGAGTAGGTGGGAGGTTATAGGGGAAGCTTTTGTTTTCAGGGCATTGGGTTTATGCTAATGGTGATGGAATATTTTGGAAAAGGATAGCAATAATGGTGGCATAAAATGAAAAATGTCATCAATGTCCCTGAGTTGTAAATGGAGGAGTTGTTATGGTGGCAAATGTCTTGTTGTGTATGTTTTTACCATAATAACAGTAAAACAACAAAACACACGCACACACACAAAAGATTTACAGCTTTGGAAACTCTATAGGATAGTTCTAATCTGCCCTATAGGTTTGCTGTGAATTGTAATTGACTCAGTGGCAGCGGGTTTATTTATTTATTTTTATTAGTGCAAGAAAAGGTTCAAAGTCTTCAATGATTTAAATGCTGTACATGCTACAAATGAAGGTGACTGTAATGAAGAAATTGTCGTGAGCAACCATTGGTTCAATAATTTTAAAGTGAGGACAAATTTACATAACATTAAAGTACGAGTAGGATTTGTCTGTAAGTTGGATATTCATAACCCAGGGAATGCTTGCTTCCATAAAAATAAAACTTACTGCCATTGAGTCAGATCCGACTCATAGCTACCCCTTCTTGGGTTTCTGAGGTGGTATCACTACAGAAGTAGATTGCCCAATTTACTTTCCAAGGAGTGGCTGGTAGGTCTGAACCACCAGCCTTCTGGTTAGCAGTCAAGTGCCTTACGCATTATGCTACCAGAGCTCCTAATATAAACATATTCAGGAAAAAAAAAAAAAAAAAACAGTTGCCTTAGACTCAATTCCATTTTACGGCAGCACCATGTGTACAGAATAGAACTGTCCTTCATAGGGTTACAAAGCTTTCAGAAGCAGATCACCAGGCCTCCTTTCTGAGGTGCCTCTAGGTTCAAACCGCAAACCGCTCAGTTAGTAGTGAAGTGCTTAATTGTTTGTGCCACCCAGGACTTCTAGCATTTGCTGAGTAAGTACTAAATATGACGTTTCACGCTAGCCACTAGGATTGCAGATGCGATGCCTTTCTGAGTGTTTTCATAAAACCAAAGTCAAGAATGACTAGTGATACACTTGAATTAAAGATCAAGATAATTTTTTTTGTCAACGCACTATTAAAGAGTGTTCTATTTTGGTCTCGAGATTATTTCAGGACATAGCTTGAGAGAAAATATAATTGTCTAAGAAAAGAATTTTGACACCAATTGGTCTTGACTCCTGAATTTGAATCCTAGTAGGCTGTATGACTAATGCAGATGAAGAATTAGTAACCTTCTTTTTGAAGTAGGGAGTTGATGACAATTCTTCTCAAATGCTAAGAATAGAAAATATACTTCAAATATTTTAAAAGTTGTTACCTAATGCCGTAGCATATTAACAGCATCACATGTGCTTCAAATGAAGTTGAAATAATTTAAATTTTTTAATATCTAAGATACACTATTGACAACTCTAAGAGGGAAAATGTGGAGGAAATCTTAAACAAAAATATTTCTAATTTATGTAGCAGATATATCAATGTAGAATGATACAAACATTCTAGAAACAAAATTTTCAAATATGTAATTTTATATTGGTTAATTAATTCAAATTTCTATGTAGGACTTTATATTAAAGTAATTTACTTATTCTTTACTCAACATCCCTTTTCTTAAAAAAAAAAGAGAGAGAGAAAAAGTTCATAATCATTTCTACTGTTCAAGAGATTCCCACTAGACTGAAAAATAACATAATGAAATTGAAGTAATTTTCAATTTGTAAAGAAAAAAATCAAAGACCCAACTTATTTTTAAAAAAGAAAATCTAAAACCAAGCAATATAAAGCGGGCTAAAATCTCTAAGTTTCATTGATAGAAATACTAATAATCAGACAAGAGCTCCCTAGATGATGAAACTATTTTACCTGAAATAGAGAAAGCAATGCAATAATTTTAAGTTTCATCTATTTAACAATTTCATCTTTATTTTTCAGTACCTATTTATTTTTTAAGTTTGCAACCATTAATTGTTTGTACTGATTGGTTATATATGGTATCTCTGCTCTGAACTGTTACAAATATACTTGACAAAATAATATTAAAATTAACAGATTAATGGTTGGCATATAAAATTAAAATGAATAAAAGAAAAAAACAAATGTTTAAAATATACTCTGATTGATGTTAAACAATACTTACCACATAAACCTAAGTATTTGAAACACTTACATGCTATAATTGAGTGTAAATAGGGAGAAAATGAAGGTGCTCTGGTGGCACAGTGGTTAAAGTAAGTATACAGTACTTTGAACTCACCAGCTGCTGTGTAGCAGAAATATAAGGTAGTTTGCTTACTTAAAAATTTATAGCCTCGGAAACTCTATAGGGCAGTTCTACCCTGTCCTATAAGGTTGCAAAGAATCGGAATTGACTCAATAATGGTAGTGGCTTTGGTTCGGTAAAGGGAGCAAGTGTGAACAGAACCTGAATATCAAAATAATATTACAATTTTTGTTTTTAAGTATACTTAAGAAGCTGTTTCAGGAATTTGGGGCCCTCTGTTGTATTTCCAAGGAACTCTGGTGGTGCAGTGTTTAAGCTCTTACCTGCTAACTGAAAAGTCAGCAGTTGGAACCCACCAGCTGCTCTGTGGGAGAAAGATGTGGTAGTCTGCTTCTGTAAAGAAGACTGGCTTAGAAACTCTAAGGGGGCAGTTCTACTCTGTCCTACAGTGTCACTGTGAGTCAGATTCGTCTTGACAACAGATTTTTTTTTTTTTTTTTTTGGTTGCTCCATTTCCAGAAGATACTGAGAAGGCAGAAGGCCTGAAGAAAGGAAATAATACTACCAAGTTGGAGAATTTTGGTTTTGAAAACTGATGGATAGGAAAAAGGCTATAAAAATACTAACTACTACAGGAAGGACTACTACTTCTGTACTTCATTCCAGGGAGCTAAGCACTCATACTGTGAATATACACATTAACTCTGACTCTTTTAATAGCATTCTTAATAATTTTAAATGCCAAGCATTATACATTGTATAGAACAGTTTTAACATGCTAAATTCAATTTTAAAAATAATTCTTAGCTAGAGGACTGAGAAAACCAGGGGGATTTTAGTACTAATCTAAATTAGCATAAGCATTTAACAAACTTCTTAATTTATCACATTTATCACCAAGAGGGGAATTGTCAATTATGCATATACCAAATTATATCATTACAGTGCAGCTTTGGGACAGTTAATCATGAACTTTCAGTAATCATGAATAACTGGTGAACATTTGGCAATCTGAGAGAAATAACATAAACAAGAAAGGTAATCACATCATAACAAGAACAGCTTCACAGAAGCTCACAGGCAGTGATCCATGTCATCTCTAATGATTAGACCAGAAAAGAAAAAGAAAAAAAAAAAAAAAAAAAAAAAGCACACAGACACACATTAATATTCAATTCCTTTCTCTGCTAAAGGTCTCATGATGGAAGGACCTGTCCACTGATTAGGATTTTTACTTTCTAATCACTGGCATTTCCTTTTCAACAATGGAATGGTGACAAGTAATTAGTGTACACTATCTCCTAACAGGAAAACAAGAAATTCTAAATAATGTGACAACCATACATAGTAGCTGCATTATAGTTGGGGTGCAATTCCATTTATGCAATTATTGACAACATGAAATTAATTGTTCAAATATTGTGATGATGAGAAGATGTTCTCTATAAAAGGAGGTCAGAATATAAGAGATCATTAGGGCTTTACCTCAGCTATTGTTATAGAATCTGGATACAATGTGTGAGCCAAATGATTTGCCAACATGAGATAAATCAAGGCATCTTCATCTACGTGTAGTCCAAAATATTCATGGTAATCACCTGAAAAGTTTTGACCTAGAGAACAGAAAAATCAATATGTATGTATTATGCTAACATGCAAGTCTTAACTCTGCACAAATTCAAACATCAAATAGTTTATTCGTATTAGTTGTTAGTTAAGTAAAGCGCAGTGAATGTGTTCTTCTTGTCAGGTGCCACGGAGCTTGTTCCAATGGATACTGACCTCACAGACAACAGAATTAAACACTGCCCAATCCTGTGCCATCCTCACAATTGGTGCAATGCTTGAGACCGTTGTTGCAACCATGGTGTCAATCCATCTTGTTGAGGGTCTTCCTCCTTTTTGATGACCCTCTAGTTTACCAAACATGATATCATTTTCCAGGGAATGCATAAGAGAGGTGAAGTCTCACCATCCTTGTTTCTGTGGAGTATTCTGGCTATACTTCTTCCAAGATAGATTGTACATTCTTCTGAGAGTCTACATTATATTCAATATTCTTTGCAAACACCGTAATTCAAATACATCAGTTCTTCTGTGGTCCTCCTTATTCACTGTCCAACTTTCACATGCATATGAGGCACTTGAAAATACCATATCTTGGGTCAGGCACACATTAGTCTTTAATGTGACATCTTCGCTCTCTAACACTTTAAAGAGTTCCTTGCAGAAGATTTGCCATGTGCAGTATGTCCTTTGATTTCTTAACTGCTGCTTCCCTGGGCATTGATTATGGATCAAGTAAAATGAAATCCTTGACAACTTCAATCTTTTATCCATTTATCATGATGTTTCTTATTAGTCTAGTTGTGAGGATTTTTTATTTCTTTATGTTGAGAAGGCTGTAGTTTTTGATTTTTAGTAAGCATTTCAAGTCTTCTCTGCTTTTAGCAAACAAGGTTGTGTCATCTTCATATCACAGGCTGTTAATGAGTTGTCCTCCAATTCTGATGCCATGTTCTTTATCATATAGTCCAGTTTCCTGGATTATTTGCTCAACATGTAGATTGAATAAGTGTGGTGAAAGGATACAACCCAGACACACACATTTCCTGGGTTTAAACCATGATATCCCCCTGTTCTTTTAGAATGACTGCCTCTTGGTCTATGTATAGGTCCTTCATGAGAACAATTAAGAGTTCTAGAATGTCCATTCTTCACAGTGTTATACATACTTTGTTATGATCCACACAGTAAAATGTCTTTGCATAGTCAATAAAGCACAGGTAAACATCTTTCTGGTAGTCTCTGCCTTAAGCCAAGATCCATCTGTCATCAGGAATTACATCCCTTATTCTACAACCCCTTCTGAATCTCGCTGGTTTTTCTGGCAGTTCCCTGTTGATGTACTGCTGAATCATTTTCAATGATTTTCAGCAAAATTTTACTTGTGAGTGATATTAATGATACTGTTTGATAATTTCCACATTCTGGTGGATCATCTTTCTCTGGAAAGTGCCCAAATACAGATCTCCTCCAGTTGGTTGGCCAGGTGGCTGTCTTCCAAATTTTCTGGCATAGAGAAATGACAGCTTCTATGATTGCATCCATTTGTTTGAACATCTCAATTGGTATTCCAACAATTCCTGGATCCTTGTTTTTTTATCAATGCCTTCAGTGCAGCTTGGAATTTTCAATCAATACTATCAGTTAGAAATCATATGTTTCCTCCTGAAATGGTTGAATGTCAACAAATTCTCTTTGGTACAGTGACTCTGTGTAATCCTTCTATCTTCTTTTGGTGCTTCCTGTTGTTGTTGTTGTTGTTAGGTGCCATCGAGCTGTCTCTGACTCCCAGTGACCCTATGTAAAGCAGAATGAAATATTGCCCAGTCCTTTGCCAGCCTCACAATCTTTGCTATACCTGAGCCCATCATTGTAGCTACTGTGTCTATCCATCTCATTGAGGGCCCTCCCCTTCTTCAATGACCCTCCACTCCACCAAGCATTATATCCTTCTCCAAGGAATGGTTCCTTCTGACAACATTACCAAAGAAGTGAGATGAAATCTGGCCATTCTCACTTCCAAGGAGCATTCTGGCTGCACTTCCTCCAGGACAGATTGGTTAATAATTTGAGTAGATTATGGTACTCTTAGCATTCTTCTCCAATACCAAAACTCCAGTGTTGGTGAATATTTTGCCCATATACAAAAACCAAACTCAATGCCATCAAGTCAATTCCGACTCATAGTAACTCCCTTCGGGTTTCCAAGATGGTAAATCTTTACAGAAGGAGATGGCCTAGTCTTCCTTCCATGGAGTGGCTGGTGGGTTTGAACTACCACAGCAACTCAAGGCGTAAATCATATTTCAGTTCTTTTACCTTGAGAAGTGTTGCGTTCTCTCCTTTTGATTTTCTAACTCTAGGTCTTTGCACATTTCATTATAATACTTTATTTTGTCTTCTTGAGTCAGCCTTTGAAATCTTCACTTCACTTCTTTTACATCATCATTTCTTCCATTCTCTTCAGCTACTCTCTGTACAGAGTCTCTTCTGACGTAAAGTTTGGTCTTTTCTTTCTTTCCTGTCCTTTTAATGAACTTTTCCTTTACTCATGATGTCCTTGATGTCTTTCCACAACTTGCCTGGTTTTCCCTCATAGTGTTCAATGCATCAAATAATTTTTCAGATGGTCTCTAAAGCCAAGAGTAATATACTCAACACTGTATTTAGACTCTCATAGACTTGTTTTAAAATATTTTCTTCAGCTTCAACTTAAACTTGCATATGATCAGTTAATGGTCTGTTGCACAGTAGGCTGCTGGCTTTGTTCTGACTGATGATACTGAGCTTTTCCATTATCTCTTTGCACAGATACAGCTGATTTGCCAAACTGTTTATAAAAGGCTATTCATCTGCACATTTTCAGGTTAGCCACAGTTATTTTTAAAACTTCAAAAAACTTTTTTTCATGAAAATGAACACATATGTTAAAAGCAAATGAAGACATTCAGGAAAAGTTTACAGAGAGAGGCAATAATAAATCACCCTAAACCTTAGCATCCAGAAATTGAACATAATTTATGGCATATCTCTCTCCTTTTCCCTCTGTGTGTGTGTGTGTGTGTATGTATGTGAGTGTGTGTGTGTGTGTATATATA